AACTTTTTACAGCGTACAAGAAATTTATAGACGATAATTTTGGCAATCGTTTCAACTTAATTCAATCTTTATTTAGTAGTTTCAACGATAATAGAAACCCAGAACAAATAAACATTCGCAATTTTCAGTTGTCAAAACTCTCAAGTTGTCAAAATTCTGCAGCGATGGTCAACTGCTTACTTAAATTATCGATTAATTAGAGAATAACTTTCGATCAAATATGCAATTGTTATTGATAAGGTGCCTTATAATCGAAATAACTTAAGACTAATAATTTATGCATAAAGTGTGTATTTTATTGAATTTTTTTTGCAGAAATAGTAAAAAATTAATCTTATGATTTATGAATGTATGGATAATTCCAAAATAAGACAGCGGCAACGCTGAGCGCTTGGAAAGTCAGATACTGATATTTCATTCAACATTTTTATAATTTTATACAAATTCGCCAAAAACCCGTCACACGGCAACACTCGATTTGTTTGACAGCACTTGCAGCAACGATTAAAAAGTACTTTCTGGCTATTTACACGTGAAAGTAGACTTTCGAGTTTGCACTTTGACTGCAAATTTCGTAGAAATAGCGCTTGAATTGCCACTTTAACTGCTCCTTTATATTTGAGGTAGCGTTAACGATTTTTTTTTTAGAGGAATTGACGCTCAAAATACTGTACTTTCGGTAATCGATAATCAACGTTAGAAATAGCGCTGATTAATTCGATGTTTCCACGCTTCGTAATTCGCTCTCTAAGGCCCAATTTCAGATGGCCTATTTAAGTAGAGATTAACTTCCATTACTCATTTTCAGATCATACATTTAATCTGCACTTAAATGGCCAATATTGGCTATTTAGATATGAGATATGCAACCCTGTGTTTGTACCACACAACCAAGATTGATTGGTAGGTTGTTTAATCAATCCCATCAAATCCCACCAAAAAACAATCAGCTGTTCAGCACAAAATGTAAACAAACAAGCGCATGCAACAACAATTTCAAGGAACAAGCAGCAGTGCTGCCAATTGTTTGGCATATTTACACAAAGTTGATCTGAAACCCAACGAAAGTTAAATGGCATTTAAACAACAATCCACAATTAAACTTAAATGCCATTTAAATATTCATTTGAAATTGGCCCTAAGTAATTCACTAAGTAATTCGTGAATTACCCTGTTTCCATGCCACACATTAGTAATTCGTTTGGCAGCTCTAGTTCTTGTTCTGCGCCATTTATTATTATTTTTGTGTACTGCAAATATCGAAGATGGAGCTTAAAATTAAGTTATCATCTACAATTTTTATTTATATAGCAAAGATTTATCTAAGTTGCACAATTATACACATAGTAAATCACATTTTAATTTATCGGGATAGTTGCAAAGCAATAAGAATTCTATCGATAAGCGTAATCGTTTCTTGATAGACTCTAGTTCTGACACAGCTGATTTAAATAAATTGCGCAGCAGAGTGGTGTTAAAAAACAAAACTTAAATTAAATTATTTAAAAACCAAAAATACAGCAAATAATAGCAGCAAGTAAGCAGCAAACAATATGAGTAAGGTAAGTAAATGCCACCTAAGACGATTAATTAGTAAAGAAAGGGCAAAAAACCGGCAGAGGTTGAGGTTAGGTACAACTGAGGCATGTGCGGCTGCGCAAGTTGCTAGATTTGCCGAAATTGAAGAAATGCCTCCGGATGAGCCAAGTTGCTCAACGGATTTACCTTTCCAAGAAAAACTTAAAATATGGGCAATTCGCAATCAAATATCTCGTAAATCCTTTTCCGAACTCTTGACGCTCCTTGCAAAAGAAGGTATGAATGTACCCAAAAGTGCCGAATCTCTTTTAAGACATAAATCTCAAGCTATAGTAAAAAATATGAGCCCGGGACTCTACTGCAATATCGGCATTAAAACGCAACTAGAAAAAATTGCTGACCAATTAATTAATCACAGCACAATAGTAGTAGATGTTAATATTGATGGGTTGCCATTATATCGTAGCTCAAGGATGCAGTTGTGGCCAATTTTATTATGTATTGTTAATGTGCCAAACACATCGGTTTTCGCTGCTGGTATTTATGTAGGACAATCCAAGCCAGATTCTATAACACAATTTTTAAGCGAATTTACCGAAGTTGCAGAACTTCTGGTTTCGAATGCAATGGTCGCTGCATTACGTTTCAGGTTAGGGCTTTTATTTGTGATGCGCTGGCGAAATCATTTCTCTGCGGAATACCTGGGCACACTTCTCGACATGGTTGTTCCAAATGTAATCAAGTGGGCAAAAAAATTGAAGGCGTACTAACCTATAGTACCAATGCGGGAACGCTTATATCCAACACTGATTTTTTGGAACGCAAATACCCTCATAGACATATCTCTGCTTTTAAGACCAATTTATCTCCTCTGGAAAAGATTAATATTAATATGATAACTCAGGTTCCTCTTGATGTCATGCATTTAATTGATTTAGGTGTCATACGTAAGTTTCTTTTACGAGTAATCAACAATAAATCGAAAATCACTAAAGAGTTTGTACGAAAACCAAGAAGTTTGGATGAAATATCAAATTGGAAAGCTACCGAATTCCGCATGTTCCTATTCTATTTTGGAATATATGTCTTAAAAGATGAACTTCCCAATGATATTTATTATGAATTCCTGCTTCTGCATTGTGCTTGTCGGTTATTGTTCTGCCCTAAAAATTATATTTCTAACATTGAGGTAGGCAGAGATATACTAAAATTGTTTGTAAACAATTTTGCAGCTGTTTTTGGAGACAATAGAGTTTCGTACAACGTACATGGCTTCCTTCATATTTCAGAAGATATAAGAGAACTGGGCATACCTTCAACCTA